GGGGGTGTGGGGGGTGGTACTGAGTTTGGAGCTGGAGGGAAGCCAGCACTCCTCTTCCAGCTAGAAGAGATCCTGTCTCTTTGCATTTCTAAGTCCCTGTACTCTGGGACTAAGAGAAAACCCTAGTTCTAGACCAGGCCAAGTCTTGGGGGTAGGATTATAACCAGGAAGGCCACTGGAGTCTCTGAATCAGAAGGTCAGAGTTGGCAATCTAGCTTCTTCCCCCACAGATTCAGAGAGGGGTGGCTGAGGTGTATAGGCCCTCAGACAAGATCAGACAGCCCTAAGGCCGACCTGGCAGGGCAGGACTCCAATGTTCGGCTGTTGACTTCAGCATCTCCATCTCTCCCTCCTGATCCACTTCAGACTCTCCAGTCATTTACTTAAGCACTTCCTGTCTTTCAGTCTCCCTTCTCTGTACACACACACACACACACACACACACAACACCTACCTACTTAAGCCCCTAAATCACTTTGGAATCCTGGCTCTTTGAAATTGGATCTGAGCCCTTCCCCCTTCCATTCCCAGGCTGGCGGAGTCTGTGAGCTTGAGGGGAGGGGGGGGGCACGGAGGACTGCTACCTCCTGGAGTTAATTAGGGAAATGTCAGCAAATGAAAGGGTTGAGGGGGATGGGTGGAGGCAGCTGCTCCCTCCTACCAGGCCTGCTCCCAGAAGGCCCTCAGCTCCAGGACTTTGGGGACTGGAACTAGGGGGCTGTGAAAAGCCGGACACTGGAGTGCAGAGGCAGAGACACTCTGGCACATCTCTGACCTTCCTTTCTCTTGCCTTCCCCTCTTACCCGAACTGGAAATATTTCCTGTCTCCATTTCTCAATCCTTGGTTGATGTCCCAGAATTACTCAGCCTCTCTGGCTTTAGTCTCCCTCTCCACTAGCTCCAAGGTCTAGGGTGGAGGCAGCAGCTAGGTGGTAAACTCTCCAGCTTTTGGTCAGGCTGGGCAGGGCCTTCCTGGGGCTTTAACTCTCTGTGTCAGAGGGTTTCAGAGCTCTCAACTGGGAATCTGGGATTCAAACTCCCATTTCTCTTCCACCACCAGCTCCAGTCAGAGAGTATAGTGGAACAGCTATCACACTGGATGAAGAGGGTGACGAGGAGGGGGCAGCTGTGCCTAGCATTTACCGAACACTTGTCAAGTGCCAGAGCACTGAGTGTCGGTCTCATTTAATCCTCACGGAACCCCCCATGATGGGTATTTCTGGGTTTCAGCTGCTCATGTGGACTCAAGTCTTCCGGAGATCACTTTACCATGCAAATCAGGGACCTGCATTTTAAGCACGTGTGCCACTCTGAGCTCCAGTTTCTTCCTCTGGTCAGTGGGAAGTTGGCCTAAGTGTCACTGAGTCACCTGCCTCAGGCACTGAACCCCAAAACTGTACATCATCTCCTGGAGTGAGGGGTGTAAGAACAATACACCTGGATGACCCTGACCCCACCCCCTAACAACGGGGCACGCACCCGCCATGCATTGCGACCTGTGAGGACTCTTGTGCAGGTGCAAAACCCCAGTGCGCATACTGCGTACACAACCTCCCCTTTAAAAGGTCCTGCCGTCCATCTCTTTTCCCTTCTTTTTGGCTACTCTTGGGTTGGCTGACTAACCATCCGCCTCTCCACCCCTTTCTGGTAAATAAACTCCCACATGGGTTGTTCATCCGTTGTTCCTTTCTTTCTTTCTTTCTTTCTTTCTTTCTTTCTTTTTTAAGATTTTATTTATTTATTATGTATACAACATTCTGCTTCCATGGATATCTGCACACCAGAAGAGGGCACCAGCTCTCATAACGGATGGTTGTGAGCCACCATGTGGTTGCTGGGAATTGAACTCAGGACCTCTGGAAGAACAGTCGGCGCTCTTAACCTCTGAGCCATCTCTCCAGCCCCGTTGTTCCTTTCTTTATATCAGCAGCTGCTGCTTAAACAAAAGAATAACAAAGGGCAACCCTCCTTTGCCCATTTCTTTGCCCCCAGAGCAGGGATACAGTCCAAGCGGGTGGTAGTGGTAAAGGTACACATTTCTGCCACTTAGACATACTTAAGATGGAGTCTCACTATAACACATACTATCTGGTACTGCCCTTCTCTCAGCCTTGCCCCCCTATTTTGTAAAATAAGGACAGAGCCCCATGCCTGAGTGCTGTGTTGAGGTTGAAGTGACCATACATGTGCTTGCCCCTGAGCCATCTCTCCAATATACTTTCAAGAAGTGGAGGCAGCCAGGCCTGGTGTGGCCAGTACAAAGAACCTCAGCTTTCAGGAGATGGAAGCTGGAGGATTTCTGGTTTGAGCTATCCACTCTGGACTTCTCCCCCCAGCTCCTTATGCAAGGAGGCTGCCTTGGTGACCACTGTATGCCCAGTGGTCAGGCCTGGGGGCAAAGACCTTTTTTTTTTTTTTTTTTTTTTCAAAAACAAAAAACAAGGGCTGAGGATGTAGCTCAGTGCTAGAGTACTTGTGCAAGGCCCACAGTTGAATCCTTGGCACCAGGGTTTGGGAGTGGTGGAGGACAGAAAAAGAAAGGATGACTTCTGTTGGGCTGGCATGTGAACACACTCAGCACTCAGGAGGCAGAGAGTCTGGTCTAAACAGTGTCAGGCCAGCCCAGTGCTACACAGTGAGACCCTGTCTTTTTGTTTTTGTTTTTGTTTTTGAAGAAAGGGTTTCTCTGTATATCCCTGGCTGTCTTAGAACTTGCTCTGTAGATCAGGCTGGCTGGCCTTGAACTCAGAGATATGTCTGCCTCAGGCTCTGGAGTGTTGGGATTAATGGCAGGGGCCT